TTGGAGGCTTTGGGACTAATATACATATAGGAAGAGGCCACCAGTCAGTGAAGGAAGCTGTATTTGCACAGTAAGCACACTTCTTGAGATTTTGTTTATTTGGGATGGCTTTGAAGGGGCCTCTCATCTGCCTTTTGTACAAATGTTTCAGAGTTTTGGATAGGGAAAGAAATTTCAAACTTTGCTATTTATTCCCCTCACAGCTCCTTAGTCTTAAGCCACCTGGACTCCTAAACTTCTGGGGCTGTCTGAGGTTGGCTACCTGGCCAGAAATGAAGGACACAATCAGTTGTAAATGAGACTTAAGACTTCTGTCCTCAGTAGGCCTGATGCCATTGAGATATATGCTAATGTGGGACTCTTCTTTCTAAAGGGGACAGGAAGTGGAGGTGGGCAGCCCAGACCAGGCTGGGTAAGTGCTCAATGGCCAGAGCAAGAGAGAAGAAAAAAGGGAAGGGACAGGGAGGGGACTACTCAGCATGTTAGAAAATTTCCTTCCAGATGTCTGGGGCAGTTGAGCCTCCCCACTGCTTTCAAAAACTGGGTGGGTCAAACAACAAGGGTTGGTGAGGGTGTGGAGAAAAAGGAACTCTAGTATACTGCTGGTGGGAATGCAGACTGGTGCAGCCACTATGGAAAACACTATGGTGTTACCTTAAAAAATTAAAAATTGAACTTCCATTTGACCCAGTGATCCCACTTCTAGGAATATACCCTAAGAAGCCTGAAACACCAATCAAAAAGAATATATGTACCCCCATGTTCATAGCAGCACTATTTACAATAGCTAAGATCTGGAAACAGCCCAAGTGTCCATCAGTAGATGAATGGATAAAAAAGCTGTGGACATATACACAATGGAGTACTATGCAGCTGTAAGAAAGAAAGATCTCTCATCCTTTGAGACAACATGGAGGGACCTGGAAAGTATTATCCTAAGCGAAACAAGCTAAACAGAGAAAGACAAATATCACATGATCTCACTTATTTGTGGAATATAATGAACATAACAGTCTGAGGAATTGGGTAGACCAGAGACGTGGAAGTAGGGCACAGACTGACAACCCTCAGAAGAGGAGGGGTTGGGGGGAGGGAAGAGATAAACCACAGAACTTATATGCATATAAGCATAATTGATGGACACGGACAACAAAGCCGGGTATATAGAGTGGGGGGTATGGGGAGGAGGGTGTCAATGGTGGAAAAAAAGGAGAAACATCTGTAACAAAAATAAATTAATAAAAAATTATATATAAAAAAAAAAATCCGGGTGGGTTCAGCTGGTGTGGCTCAGTGGATTGAGTGTCATCCCATGGGCTGAGAGGTCCCGGTTTGATTCCTGGTCAAGGCATATGATCCCCAGTAGGGAGGGAGGGCGTCCAGGAGGCAGCCAGTCGAGGTATCTCTCTGACACTGAGGTTTCTTTTCTTTTTTTCTTTTTTTTTTTTTTTTATCCTCACCCGAGGACATTTTTCCATTTTTTGTTCAGGTAGAGTGGGAGAGAGAGAGAGGAACAGAGAGAGAGAGAGAAACATCGACGTGAAAGGGACACATCGAGTGGCTGCCACCCGCACAACCGACCAGGGCCGGGGACAAACTGCAACCGAGGTACATGCCCTTAGCGGGAACCGAACCCGGGTCTCTCCGGACCGCAGGTCGACGCTCTAACCGCTGAACCAAACCGCCAGGGCGAGGTTTCTTTTCTTTAAAAAAAATTTTTTTTCTATATTTATATTTTTAGAGAGAGGGAGAGAGAAACATCGATCAGAGAGGACATTGATTGGTCACCTCCACATGCCCCCACTGGGGATCAGGCCCACAACCTGGGCATGTGCCCTGACCGGGAATTGAACCAGCGACCACTTGGTGCATGGGTCAACACTCAACTACTTAGCCACACCAGCTGGGCTCACATTGATGTTTCTCTCTCTCTAAAAAATATTTCAAAACAAAACAAAACTGGGTGGGCCTTGGTAGTTCTGGGATGGGTCTGAAGTCACTCCCCTTCTCCTCTCAGGAGCCTTGAGAAAGAACAGAGACTCTCCAAGATGGACCTTCCCACAGGCCCTAATGAGATCCTCAGCCAATGGGGTGAGTGTTTTGCTAATCCATAAACAGCTAAGAGCAGACTAGTTGTGCTTCAGCTCTTTGGACTTTAGGACATCACCCTCACTCCTAAACCTCTTTGGGTTGGTCTCTGATAAGTTCCAAATGCTATTTTCCAATTGTTGGAGCCCCAATTCAGAGCCAGGAAATGCATCTATCCTAATGTCAGGTTATTTAGCTGAGATGACCAAGATTCCTTCTAAAGTACTCAGACATGGCTTCCTCCCTCCAGCAGTTGTTCACAATTTGCCAAGTAAGATCTGGAGGAAAGGGGGGCATTTCAGGAAGAGTCTGTGAGATATAAAGTAGCATTTCTCTGGAAGGCATGTTGGCAATATGAACCTAGAATCTGGAAAACATCAGCCTTTTCATTTCTAGAACTTTATCATATGTTAAAAAGTCAAAGATTCAGACAAAGATTTGGGTACAAAGATGTTAATCACAGCACTATTTACAACAGCAAAAAACTGGTAATGACTTATAAGCTAACCATGGGAACTTGAGTAGGTAAACAATGTTATAGCCATACTACAGAATATTATCATGTAAACATTAAAAGGTCTTTATATTTTTAATTACATGAAATAGTGTCAACTATAAAAAGCAGGTTACAAAGCAATTATAGCATAGCTCACTTATATAAATGCTCTATCCCTCCGCATGTATAGAAAAAGAAAATATACAAAATATATTTAAATATAAAATTTATCAGATTGTTTTTATTTCTATGTTATGGGACTATGGGTCTAATTTTCTTTTTATTTTCCAAGTTTTTTACTTGTTATTTTTATCAGGAAATTAAAACAAAAAGAAATCTTAAGGACAGTTGCCATATCCCAGACCATACTGGAGGATGGTCTTTCTCCTCCCCTACACATTTCACATTGAACAGACCTCACCTGGAACCCAGACATCTCATCTTTCTGTACTGTGCTGTCCTCTCCCCAACATGACAGTCATTCTGCTATCAGTGGGAGGTAGAGAGAGCTACATTTATTGGAAAACATCCTTGCTGTCACACCTATGCCTGAAAATAAAGTTTTGAATTATTTTATCCTTCTCTCCATGACTGCAGAGAATATACTCAGGGTGCTTGGATATGAGCTCGTGAAGTTCTAAATGACACCTCTTTCCCACTGGTTTGCTGTGGTGATGGCGTAAGCATCAAAACCCATGACCACAGCTACTGGTACTGTTTTAAAAAACATAGCACTCATCCTCACTCCCTGATGAGGGATTTGTCCAGCAGCCTGGGCATCAGAATTACTGGGCTCCAGGCCCCATAAGTGACTCAGAGACAGCCCCAGGTTGTGTCTCCTGGCCTCAGTTTCCCTGGCTTGCTCTGTTGATACTCCCCACCTACTGTACAGGGTGTTAATAGGAGTGAGGTGCTTTGAACTCCGCAGATGAAAGAGGCTGGGGAAGCAGCACCCAATTATTATTCCCTGCAAGGCCAGGCGTGGGAGCGGAGGTTGGGTGCTTTCATACTGTTCCAGCCACAGGAGCCTCCTCATAGCCCATCACTCTGCTCTGGCTATCAAAACTGTAAAGCAAAGCTCAGTCATTCCCACCTCAATGCTACTTCAGAATAGCTTTTCTTAAAATGCCCAAACCACCAATGACCTATCGTCCCCCTAATGATTTATGACTTAGTAATGCTCTACAGGTGTCTCAATTCTTTCTTCTAATTGGCCTCAAATCCTGTGGGACATGGGCCACAACTTTTCACCATTAGTATTCACAAAGCTGCCCTGGCTGGTTTGGCTCAACAGTTAAGAGCATCAGCCCGCGGACTGGGGAGTTTTCGGTTCGGTTCCTCTAGGGGCACTTACCTCGCTTGCAGTTTGTCCCTGGCCCTGGTTGGGGTTGTGTGGGTGGCGACCAGTCAATGTGTCTCTCTCACATCGACTTTTCTCTCTCTCCTCTCTCTTCCTCTCACTCTATCTGAATATAAATGCAAAAAAATGTCCTTGGGTGAGGATTAAAAAAAAAAGGTCAGCAAAGTGGACTATGAGAACCAGGCTGACCAAAGCTCAAACTCATCTGTTTCCTTCATATAAAGTGGGGCTTAGTAATAGTTCCCATCTTGTTTGTATTTCTAGCAGTTGCTGTGTGAACCACATGAGGACCAAGTGTGTGAAGGCACTCTGTAAAATGTCAAGCCCGTCACATGTGTTAGTTAACAGGACCCAATATCTACAAATAAGACTTCTAGCACAACTGCCATTGGTCCCCCTTGTGACTCCAAGCTACAACTGCAAAAATAAGCCTGGGGTGCCATCTATTGGTCGAAAATGTGAATTGCACACAACCAGTTGCAACAAGAGCAAAAGACAGAAAAGCAAACACCAGTATTTTGCCACGCCCCTCAAGTCATATTACATACTTAATATCGCCCTTTAAACAATGCATTTTGTATAAATAACTTCACTTTTAAAGTAAACTTTTAATCACTACTACAAATAGAAACTAAATTAGCATTTGCCAAAAATAGAATAAAACTGTGAAATAAATACAATGAAAATAAAACATTAAGATCTAATTAGCCCTGGCCGGCTAGGCCCAGCTGGTGTGGCTCAGTGGTTAAGCGTCATCGATGTTTCTATCTCCCTCTCCCTCTCTCTTCCTCTTGCTCCAAGATCAAATAAAGAAAAATTAAGATCTAGCTACACAGTATCCCCTGTGAGAGGTCAAGCTTAAGGATTACTGTTAAAATGGAAGATTAACCTAAATGCACCACTGGAGAATAAGTGTTAATCCTCTAGTACTGTGCTTTGGGGGAAATACTGCTCTGTAAGAAGAAATCGAACTCTTCTGAGGGAAGGCGACATTCACTTGTTCTACCCCCAGCTCCCTGGATGGTTGATGAAAGTTTGAAAGTCACAACATATAGGAGAAAACAAATTCTTGTATTGTAGCACATTCCATCATAGCCTGAGTGGGGCCAGAGCTGAATTCCTGGTGGCAGTGCTCAGAGCTCATGAGTACTGAGGGTATAGTAGGTGCTTTGGTTGCGCCACATCTGGCTTTTGGCTAGAAGTCCTTTGCAGGGCTGGGTGTCCCTTCATCAGCCTTCCAGGTCTGGCAGGGAGGCCTGTTTTTGGATCTATAGCCTGTTGGGCTGTCCGCTGTGGCTTACTGGGAGCTACAGCTTTCCCCAGTGCTGGATTAAGTGTCTTATTCTCCAGAGCCCAGCTTGTTGTTACAGCTTCATGGTTTCTTGCTCCACTGACTGGTCTGAGGGTGCCAGGTACTTCTCCTGGATGCCCAGGGTGCTGAGGGAGGGTACGTCAAGGATGATAGCATGGGCAAGGATAGAAAACTGGTCTGGGCAGGATCTGACCTCTACTGATGCCAGCCTTCCAACCATGTCTGGCAGAGTTCTTCTATTCTTCTCCCTTCCTCGTAGCTATAGCTTCAGGCAACAGGGACCAATTGGGTTTGAGAAGCCTATCAAAGCAACCAGACTCAAATGCTCCTCTTCCTCACATTGCTGAGGATCAAAGGACTGGAGTGCTAACCCTTCCCCTCTGTGTTACGACACATCCCAGAGCTAGACCATGGGGATCTAAATCCTTATTTTGCTATCTCCTTTTCTCATCTGTAAAATAAGAGCTGTTATGAATATCAAATGAAACAATGACTAGAATGCCTAGCATAGCACCTGGCACACAGTAGGTGCTTAAGAAATGTCTGTGACTTCTCTTCTGCCAAGGGAGAGAACTCAAAGGAGTTCAAAGAAAACAATAAATTTCTGTTTGGGCCACAGGGTGTCACCTCTATGGACAGCAGTAAGGACACAAATCAGATTCACAAAAGCAAAGACACTGCTAATGAAACCCTGTGAGGCTGGCTGGCCTAAGGCCCAGGTCTGACTAAGAGACAGGGGTTGACCATGGCCAGGTTGGCCACCATGGCTGCTCTACTAGATGACTCCAGTGTCAGCAGCTGAGATTCTACAACCAGGGAGACCAAGGTTTGAACTGTTCTTCCAACACATGCTGCGTGAGGGGTCTTGGGCTCGTCCCTCTCAGAGCCCCAACTGCCTCATCTGTAATAGGGGATTGAATAAAGATTAAACGACGTACTGCAAATGGAGTATGTAGCCCACCAAATGATGTTCAGATTAGACCTTTCTTTACCATCTCATGGATCTATCCATCAAATCCATCTCACCCTACACAGGTTCTGAACCTCTGTCCCCTCCCCTTTACTTTCCTCAGGAGGTAATACCTTGTTCCTGTGCAAATCAGCCCTGAGGATCACTCAGGATCAGTGGGGTCCATCTTGTTTGATGTGGAATAATCTCAAACCTGTCATGTCTGGCCTGAAGCTCACATTCCTGAGCAGGGCACATGAAACCCCGAGTTCTCCTACCCATCTCTCTGGCCCTATCTCTGCTCTCCAGCCAGAAGTCCTATCCTGCCTACAAGTCATGCCATTCTACTTGCAACCCCTTAAATATGTCTATCTTGAATTCCTGTGCCTTTGTATACACTGTTCCCCTTGCCTTGAAGTTCCTTTCCCTCTTAATCAACCTGGCTAATCCTCACTTTGAAATGATGCTCAAATGTCACTACCACCATGAAGCTTTCTTTAACCACTCACTCCTCAGCAGAGCTGACTTTCCCTTCTTTGTACCAATCCCTAATTACCTTACACACAGAGTAAAGTTGAACTTTAAGGAGATTAGGGTGGGGGGTGTGGCTCAGTGGTTGAGCATCAATCCATGCACCAAGAGGCTGTAGGTTCAATTTCCAGTCAGGGCACATGCCAGGATGCAGGCCGATCCCCAGCGGGAGTCATGCAGGGGCAGTTGATGGATATTCTCTCTCATTGATGTTTCTCTCTCTCCCTCTCCCTTCCTCTTTCTCAACAATCAATAAAAATATTAAAATAAAATAAAATCAGCACAAATGCATATGGTTAAAAATAACCTTATCCCGGCCGGTTTTGTTCAGTGGTTAGAGCGTTGGCCCATGGACCAAAGGGTTGCGGGTTTGATCCCCAGCCCCCCATCAGGGTCGTGTGGGGAGACAACCAATCGATGTGCCTCTCTCACATCGATGTGCCTCTCTCACATTGATGTGCCTCTCTCACATCGATGTGTCTCTCTCACATCGATGTGTCTCTCTCACATCGATGTGTCCCTCTCTCCCTCCCTTTCTACCTCCCTCCCTTCCACTCTCTCTGAAATCAATGGAAAAAAATATGCTCAGATGAGGATAAAAAAAAAGTTCCTCTTTTTTTGCTGAGCACATGTAGATGAATTTGCCAATATTAACTGTATGTGTGAGGCAGCTCTTCAGTCCCTTCTTCAGGCACTGCACACTCTACTGCCATCATCTGTAATTTGTCTATTTCCCTGTGAGCTTTGTTTCCCATGTATGCAAGGCCTGACACAGATCAAAGTGTTGGCAAGAACTATTTTCCTCCCTACCCAAGGACTCCGGAGCACACCCCCCGCCCCTGCCTTGTCTCCAGCACCCTGTGTAGATGCCAAATCTCTGAAACCAGCCTACAAAGCCTGGTCTTCCCTGTCCTACCTCACATGTGGCCTCTGTGACCTGAGAGACACCTACACATAACCCTCATTGGTCCAGTTCGGAAGGTCTAGCTACCTCCCAAACAGCTCTGTCCCAGGGTCCTCTCGAAGACAGCACATCTGCCAGCTACCATCCCTTCCATCCACATGAGAAACCTTCCTTTCCTTACCTCAGTGACTAGCGCAACCACCCATACCACTGTCTAAGCAAGAAACTAGGAGTCTAAATTCTGTACCATCTCTATCTATCTGTCTGTCCTATAACCATTTATCACCTTAGTATTTTTCCAATCTACACAATTCTATTCTCACCACTGTTTCATCTTTTCTCTTCTAGAGTCTGTAAAAACTCTCCTGCCCCCCCATTCATATCCCTTAAATGCATTTTCCACACCTGGAGGAGCTTTTCAAAAATGTACAACTGTTCATGTCACACCCTGCTTAACAATACTATGCTAATTCCTACTGCTCACCCACAGGCAAGCCCTTACCTCTCTCCGAAGTGACCAATGCCTTTTCATTCCTGGGCCTCTGTATTTGTTGCTACTTCTGATCAATATTCTCCCTTGTCCTCAGGTACAACCAACCCTGAAGTCTTCTAAAGGACCAGCCTTTGAACATGAAAAACAGTCGCAAGGGAGCCCAACTGGTCAACATGAAATTAGTCACCTACAAGGACAGATGTAGTCATTCCTGAGTCCTATGTCTCCCCCAGCTTGCTGTGGCTGAGAAGCTAGATAGCAAGGATACGAGGAGAAGTGGAAGTCAGCTCCCATTGCAGCAGACATCATGGCCTCTAGGCTTCGCTGCTCTTGGACCCCGAAGCAGTAGCCATTGGCTTTATCCACAGCCTGCAGGACCCGCTGGATACTCTCCTTGTCCTGGGCAGGGAGGAGAGAAACAGCTCTGTGAGTGAAACAGAGGTGTGTGGAATTAAAATTGCACCAAACTGCTTGTAGTCCCCAAACAACCTCCAGAATCCTGTCTCATGAAGCCTCTGTATATGCAGCTTCCTTGGCCTGGAGTAGTTCTACATGTTCCCAGAGGCCCAGCTATATCTCATCTTTCCTGACCACCAACCCACCTAAATTAGAACAGGTAGCTCCTCTATGCACAACCACAGTTCCCCGGGCTTACCCATATTGTAACTCTGATCCTGCCATCTTCATAACTACTAGTAAGTTATTAACTCATCTGCCTCCCCTACTAGACTGCACCCCTTGAGGTCAGGGACTCATTTGTTGAGGTATTCCCAGTGCCTGGCACAGAACTTAGCTAACAGTAGACACCCAATAAATATGCATGCAACCTATCTACTCATCCACATAAAAGTAATAAGAACAATTCATATATCACATGATAGAAAGGAAAGATCAAAATAATGCATTACAGTTCTCACCACAATGCCTAGCATAGAAAGCAGGTAGTTGTTATGATTAATATCACAGGTTTCACCTCATTTTAGAGAAGAGTGGCATTAAAAGGGAAGAGACAACTTTGTTCAAGTCCAACCACTGCAGAAAGGAATCAAACATGCACCAATGTCTCCCAGGTTATCTTTGTAGGGTGAAGGTGAGAGGCACAGGGTTGGGTATAACTTTGCAAAGTCAACAAGCAGTTGCTCATCTTGAAGGAACCTGAAAGACTTGTTCCTGACCATGGTCAAGTATCTTGTTAGTGGCTTTCAGGGAACAAGTGTAGAAAGGACCCAGCAACACAGAATAGATAGGGCCAAAATTTGGCCCACCCTCTTTTAAAAAAAAAAAAAATTTTTTTCTTTATTAATTTTAGAGAGAGAGAGGAAGGGAGAAGAGATAGAAACATCGATGAGCGAGAACATCGACTGGACACCTTCTGCATGTCCCCCACTGGGGACTGAGCCCACAACCTGGGCATGTGCCCTGACCAGGAATCAAACCGGCAACCTCTTGGTGAATGGGTCAGTGCTCAATCACTGAGCCATACCAGCCAGGCTGTTCTACCCTCTTTACTGGAATCCTGCCCACTAGAGCCCCTGGTACCAAATCAAGGGGATCAAATGATAGTTGGACCTAGCTACAACAAAGACCACCATTTGAACCCTCACAGCCTCCTGTAGCCTTGGCTTGATGAGGTCGCAGGCACTGTCAGAGCCTATAGCCAAGGGAAGAGGCCTCTTAGTCCCCGAGTCCCTGGTACCTGGATATTGAGAGGAATGAAGGAGACCAGGCTATAGTCTTCAATGAGCTGCACCAGTTTCTCATTGAGCTGACGGTAGTGGCGGAAGAAAGGGTCCGAAGCCAGGTGGTCAAGCAAGTAGGAGAGGTCCAGGACCTCTGTGTAGTAGTCCAGGTTGAAAGCTAAGGAGAGAAACCATTGTTCAGGAGCAGCTGGCATCAGGCTAAAACCCCAAGGACAGGGACCATGTTTTTTCTTTCTTCCTCTGCCTTCATTCTCTCATACATTTATTCATTCAACAATGGCACTGAAGTTTCTACGAAGAAAATAGTTGGTTTCACCTGCTGGCTCTGTCATTTACTAACTATATGGACAAGTACCCACCTCATGAGGCTGCTGTGAGGATTAAATGCTATAAACCCCAGTGCCTAGTACAAAGAAGTGCTTGGTCAACAGTAGTAAATGATGATATCGAACATGTACCAAGTACAGTGCTTGGTGCCTCCCTCATGAAACTCAGAGTCAGGTAGTACCCCCAGGACCCAGCACACACTACACAGACTTTAGCAGAGTAGCATCTGGGTAAATCTCTTTTCCTTTCTGGGCCAATTCCTTCTTAATGTAAATGAGGAGACCAGACTAGATGACTCGGGTCTCTGATTCAGTTCTACAAATACAAACTTCCCACTAAGAGAAGAAAGTAGGTCTGCACTGTTCATTTCAGCCTGGAAAACTCAAATGGTTGGGCTACTCAGCAGGTCTGTCCCAAAGTGAGCCAAGGGAGCAGGCTGTTAGAGATTAATCAATTCACTCATTGGCTCTGCCTCCGACCTTTTAATCAGCTCTAATTAGAAACTGACAGCCCTGTGCCTACAATGAAGAATGTTCTAAGTATTCCAACAAATGGATTGCTTGACAGGTAGGTTTCTCAATGAGAATTAAAAACTGGAGCCCTGGCAGGTTTGGCTCAGCAGTTGGAGTGTCGGCCTGTGGACCAGAGAGTCCTGGGTTTGGTTCCCGCTAGGGGCACGTACCCCCCCCCCCAAAAAAAAAAGAAAGAAAAAAGGAGCCAGGACTCGGCTGGTGTGGCCCAGTGGTTGAGCGCCGACCCATGCACCAAGAGGTTGCCGGTTCGATTCCCGGTCAGGACACATGCTCAGGTTGTGGGCCAAATCCCCAGTGGGGGGCATGCAAGAGGTGGCCAATCAACATTCTCTCTCATCTATGTTTCTCTCTCTCTCTCTCTCTCTTCCTCCCTCTCTATCTGAAGATAAATGCAAAAATGTCCCCGGGTGAGGATAAAAAAATAAAAGTAAATAAAAGAGAATTAAATAGTACAGGTTCCTTTATGCCTACTGGTCCCTCTACTAGAATAGTTCTCCCTTGGCTGGCTCTTCACCATTCAGGTCTCAGCTCAGATGGCACTACTCTCTCCCCACTTACTGTCCCATCGTTTAGTTTTAATTCCTTCATAATACATATTACCATCTATAGTTCCTTTGTCCCCCAAAACCAGAACAGTATATGGCACAAAACAAATGAGCAGGGGTCAGGACCTGACTGTGGCTATAATCACCAGGTCATGCATGGTCCCTGGAGGCAGTTTCCTTCAGCTGAGATCTCTGATTCACTCAGTGCAGCCACTACCCTACACCTTGCCTGCCCAAAATAGGAGCACTTACCTAGCTTCCCATAGTGCTCAATGAGGTCCATCTTGGAGAGGAGGTTGACGTGGGGCAGTTCTACATGCAGCATGGTGGCGAGGGAGGTACACAGTACTGAAATGAACTTGGCAGGGTCTGTGCAGTAGTGAGAATCCACTAGGTGGACAGCAGTCAGCTGGGAGGGGAGGAAGAGACAGGTTGAGAGTGGTCTGGGGAGCTGGAGAACATCAGAGCCTATGTCTCCCCCATCAGATTGGGAATGCCTGAGGACACAGTGCAAACCTTCCCCATTAGCCTTTTTTTTTTCTTTCCGCATTATCAGGATATTTATTTCAGCTATATTTTTCTTTTTAGTGATTACACTCTTCAATCTCAAATTCTACCAGCGAATCAATAGTTCATGATTACATACTACCTATCTAATGAGAATATATAAGCATTTCTAAATAAGGGAATTACAACAGTATAAATAAAACATGGCATTTTCTTATTATTTATTTCTGGTCACAAATAGTGAGCCATTTATAACAAGTCAATCCCATTTTTATGGTACAATAGCTAATCAACCTGACTTAAGTCTGTTCCTCACTGTGCTTAAATCAGTGATACATGTTATACTAAGTTTTACAGAAACATGAATTTCCCATTAGTCTTTTTCTTCTGTTTCATTCTAATAGCCACACTCATTTCCTTCTCCCAGGAGATATTGGCATTTTTCTTACAAGATGCCTTGCTCTGAGCCTCTCAGTGGGCAACTGGTTCAATTCCCACTACCTCTGACTCCATTTTTTTCACTTACTTTTCTCCCCATCTCACACAATCGCCATGCCATTTTCTACATAACTCCTTCGATACTTCCAATAATTACAAATTGTGTACGAACACATCCATTTTACAGATGAGAAAACAGATTCAGAGATAAACTGACTTACCCAGGACCACACAGCGAGTCAGTGGCAAAGCCAGAATTCGAAATCATACCTGTTACACTCCAAAGAAACTCCGCCCCTGCCTCGCTGTGTGACAAGTGGGTGTGACATACCATCCCTGTCTTAGTTCCTTCATCTGCAAAATGGGCCTGCAGACCCAAGACGCACCCTAAGGTCCCACTGGGCCATCTGGGAGAAGATGCTGCGTAGGGCGCCATGGTGCGTGCAGAGCTCCACTTGGCCTGGGCAATCGAAGAGGAAGTAATGGCCGCGGAGGGGGTCAAGCTTGGCACGCAGCCAGTCCAGATTGGCCTCCAGGTACTCCATGCAGTATAGCAGGCCGCCGTTGGGCCCCAGTCGCAGCGCGTCCATAACGTCGCCCAAACCCACCAGCTCGCTCACGTCCACGGCACACTCGTACGGCAGCCCCTCGTTGGCCGGGTCCAGGTTCACTACTGCCACGCGCCGGCCCATAGCACGCAGGAACTCGCTCATGCCCAGACAGTACGTGGTCTTTCCCGAGCCCGGCGGCCCGATCACCGCCTGCCCAAAGGCGGTGGTCGGAGCGGCCCTCGCCATGGGTTGCACTGGGCCCGTGCACAGCAGGTAAGCTCGGCGGGGAAACAAGGCAGGCGACCGCTCGGGAGACGAGCGGAGGGCGACGGAATTCCCGACGTGCACTTTGCGGGTGGGAGGCGCGGTGGCGATGCCCCGAGTTACCTAAGGAGGAACTGCAGGCAGCCCAGTAATGCAAGGAGAGCGAACGGCCGGGTATTGACCGGACCGGCACCAACTTCCGGAAGACTTGGGAAACGGCGGAAGTCCCGCCTTCATGGTGACGACAGAGCTCAGCGCCGGGGATGTGCTTTTACTCCCAGCCCGATGGGTCCGGTTATGGGGCGCACGTGGGGGCAAGAAACCTTTTCCAGGATTTACCCAATCTACCTCTAGGCCCAAATTAGAAGAGAGGGGGAAATCCGGTCATAAAGTTCTTTATTCTACCATTCCGTGGCAGACCCGGCCACCTCCCGGGAAGTCTCCGCTGTCTTTTGTCCAAGCCAGTCAGGGGTAGAGGCAGTGGGCCCACCCCAGGACCACTGTGGCCTTCTGAGCACCACAAACCCTCTTCTCTTCCAGGTCTCTTTCCTACTCTTTCCGGCCTTCAAGGTGACCCCACCCAAGGAAGCTTCTGCTGATAATCTCAGTCAATTAAGCTTTTCAAGGTACTGGGGGGTGCGCAACAGCGGCAAGCCCAAACAGGGACCAGGATTAGGAGACCAATGAAGAGAGGTAATTAAGCCCTGGCGGTTAGTGTTAGCCCTCAGGCCAGAGTCATGGGTTTGATTCCCAGTCAAGGGCATGTGCCTCAGTTGGAGGTTCAATCCTCTCAGCCCTGGTAAGGGTTGTGCTGGAGGCAACCAATAGATGTGTCTCTCTCACGTGGATGTTTCTCTCTCTCTCTCTCCTTCCTTCCCTCCCACTCTATCTGAAAAATCTATGGAAAAACATCCTCAGGTGAGGATTAAAAAAATAAAAGAAAGAAAACTATTAGCCTGGCCTGTGTGGTTCAGTGGTTAAGCATCGACCCATGCACCAAGAGGTTGCCAGTTCAATTAGGTCAGGGCACATGCCCAGGTTGTGGGCCCGATCCCCAATGGTGGGCATGCAGGAGGCAGCCAACTGATGTTCTCTCTCATTGATGTTTCTATCCCTCTCCCCCTCTCTCTAAAATCAGTACAGAAGCCCTGATCGGTTTGGCTCAGCGGTTGGAGCATCAGCCTGCGGACCGGAGGGTCCTGGGTTCGGTTCCCACTAGGGGCACATACCCCCCAAAAAAACAAAAAAAATAATCAGTAAAGAAAAAAAAAAGAGAGGCAATTAAGCCTTTATATCAAAGGGGAGGATAGGGAGCCTTTTGGGAAAAAGCCCCTGAGGTAGAGAGCCAGAAGGCAAGTTTAAAACAAAGCACCCTGAAGGAGCCTCACAGATTGCTGCTCCCAGACTTCTTCCTGCTTCGGTGGGAGATAAGGCCAGGACAGAGGTTTGCTACTGCAGTTAGGAGTGATCCTGACTAAGGAAGCCCCTGAACCTGTCACTCAGGCTCTGAGAAGCTTCCAAGGCAGAGCTGGAACCCCTCACAAAGGTCATGTCTGTCCGAAACTTCATGCTGGTGGGTGGCTGGCGTCTGAGCAGCAACTCCCCTTGGTCCTGGGGTAGTGGCTCATCATAGATGGTGGAGATGAGCCCCAAACCAGTTCCACGACGCCTCTTCACTTGCCCAAATGGCTGTAGCTTCTCTCCATGGTACCTGTTTAAAAAGGGGTCTCAGTGAGAGGGCTGCTCTTTCTTAAACCCCATTTAAAGGGGTTGGGAAAGGACAGAAGTAAGCTACTGCATGTCTGGTTTGTCCCAAAGACAGAGCCTTTAAATCTGGATCTTTGCTCTCCAGCTACCTTATCTGTTCATTGACTGACAGTGCCAGCAACCAGAGGCCTCAATGCTTTCATTTTATTTTACTTATGTTTTATCGATTTTTTTAGCAAGAAAGGAAGGGAGAGAGATAGAAACATCGATCGGCTGTCTCCCACACGACCCTTACTGGGTATCGAGCCCTGACAGGGAATCTAACTGGGACCTTTGAGTTCGTGGGATGATGCTCAATCCACTGAGCCACACCGGCCAGGCACAATGCTTTCATTTTAAATAGTACACCGTTTAGAACAACTGTCACCAGTCTGTGACTTAGTCACTCCCTAATGGCAGTCATCAAGTCCAAACTTCTTAGACTAGGGGGAATGATCCCCCATCCCAGGAGATCCAGACCTATTTTTTCCTTCTAACTCTATTTTGAAATTTACCCTCTAGAAGTCTCCAGCACCCACCCCAAAACCAGAGGGAAGGAGGAACCATGGTACAGCTGAAAAGCTAGCTTGGGCCCCCAAGGGAAGTCCCTCAGCCATACTCACCCCAAACCATGCTTGCATCTGGGGTGCTGGCCATCATTATCCAGGGCTTCAGGCATCCCTGAGCACTGGCTGCCCAGGCCCTGGCCCTCAGCCCAGCCCTGCTGCTCCATCACCTTCCGTCCAATGCCCTGCAGAGGGAAAAGAAAAGACTCAAGATGGGGCTCTTGTGGAGGGCAGGGGAAGGAGGAAGAAAAAGAATGGAGGTAGAGAAGGAAAAGAGAAGTCAATAGATTAGGCATAGTACTCACCTTGGTGTGGCGCTCAAAGGTGCCCACCTGGCGTTCAATCACAGAGCCATCCTCCTGGCCATTGCGGAGTCTCCGTTCCAGACGCATTTGGACAGAGTCCCGGGCATCCTTGTCTCCACCATCTGAGGAAGCAGAGCCCAGTTTGCAGAAGGGTCTCTCTCAACAGCATGGGGGAAAAACAGGTGTCTAGGACCTCCTCACAATATTTACATATTCATCTTTATGGTGTTTTATTGTCTTATTATTCTCTCTTTCATTAGACTGGCAGCTTGCCAAAAATAGGAACCATGGTTCTCCCATCTTACAAATGAGGAAATTATGGTGCAGAAGAGTCATAGAGCCAACAAAGAATTAGATCTCAGGTCTTCCCCTATTCTCTCCACCCAGGTCATTTTTGACTCCAAAATCTAAATTCTTAACCAGAGTGTGAGCTCCTGACCTTTACTCTACCAAGGTCTGCCCACCAGAAGCAGAGCTCCCTGAGGGCTGTCCCTGTGTGTCCTTGCTCCACAAAAACGAAAAAGGTTCTGCCTACAACCTGCACTTAATGCACTCAACTAGAGATGTCTTAAGAGAGGAACCCTCTCCATGAGCTATCCCAAGGGAGCTGGTGTACTGTCTCGGACTCTGCTAAGCATGTCTGGTAAAGTGTCACTGCAAAACCAGGGCACCAGTTCCACCTCCCAGTACCACAACCTTTGGCCCAGTACCAGTACCTCTATCGTAGTACACACTCATGTCCACATCCCAATCATCGGCCGTCTGTTCATCGAAGTCTGCAGGTATAAAAGCATCAAGCAGAGTGAGCTAAGGACTCTCAGTTCTGTTGAGAGTTAAATCTAGACTTAGACATATATTCTATAATTTGGGTTTTTTTGTTGTTGTTGCTGTTAATCCTCATCTGAGGATATTTTTCCACTGATTTTTAGATAAAGTGGAAGGAAGGGGGGAGAGAGAGAGACATCAATATGAGACACATCAATTGGCTGCCTCCCGAATGACCCTGACCAGGGCCGGGGATCGAATCTGCAACCAAGATACATGCCCTTGACCAGGAATCGAACCTGTAACCCTGTGGTCCATGGGCTGACTCTAACTGCTGAGTCAAACTGGCCAGGGCTAGAACCTGCGGCTTTGGATAGTAGTTTTAAATCTCACCTCTGGGAGGGTCATTCAGAATTTGCAGGAGGGCATTTTCTCTGTACTGATTCTCTCACCCCTAAAAAGGATGACTGGTTTCTCTCAAATCCAGTTAAGATAAGCCACTTTCCTAGCCCTTTATTTGGGCCCGCTGCCAGGGATTCCACTCTCTGGAACATAAAGCCCAGAGCAAATGCAGCAGGGATCATTCCTGCCCTTATCTGGTGCCAGCATTACCTCCTTCTTCCTCCTGCCAGAACTGGGCATCAGTGTAGAACACCAGGCCAGGGCCGCCTTTCTCCCACTTGAGCTCAATCTCCTCCTCAAAGAGCCTCTCAGTGGTACGTTCCTGCCCGGTCACATCTTCATGCAGCGCTTCATGTCGCTCCCACTCCTCACCCCGGTCATCGTCCTGGGAGAAGGGGAGAGGTGACCTGCTTGTTTAGCTTCCTGACCTTATGCCCACACGGAGGGCAGCTCAGGGCACAGGAGGCCCATGAGATGGGTCCTCAGCATCATTCCTCCAAATTTTTCCAAGATAAAACACATATTAAGTCCTTGAGGCCTTGAACATCTCTCTATCCTGTTTTTCAACGTGGCTCTTTTCCCTGACAAAACTGATACACTCTTATTTTTGTGTTTTTGGTCATATTGCTCCCCTTGCCTGAAATATCTGCTCTTCTCTCTCACCACCTTCTATTCACGTGGTTAAATCCTCCTCATCCCTCAAGTTCTACAGCCTATATAGAGCTGCCCACACTGCGGCTCAAAGCACTCTCACTGGTCTCTGAATTTCTCAGTTTTAATCAGTACACACTGTTTAGGCCTGTACATGTGATATCACAAAGAAAGAAGGGACACGATTCATACCTATCTATTGTCTACCATGTGTCTGGCCCTTCACATAACCTAGACCTTTAATCACCCCAACAACCCTGTGAGGTAAGTACCATTATCCCCATTCTACAGATGAGGAAATGGGTTCAAAGTAAAGGGATTTGCCCAAGACAGTACACCAAGAGAGTAGCACAACCAGCATTCACATTCAGCTCACCATACCATATAGCCTTTACAGATGCTGGTTTCAGGGAGATTTAAGGTCCTTTGAGGGCAGGAAATAGCCTTAGACTACCTTTGGAATCCTGTGCTAGCCCCTGTGTTTACAACTGCTTGACTGGACTTGTGGAATGATAGGATGCTCATGGTTTTTTGTTTTTTTTTATCCTCACCCGAGGACATTCCCCCATTTTTTGTTCAGATAGAGTGGGGAGAGAGAGAGAGAGAGAAACATCAACGTGAAAGGGACACATCGAGTGGCTACCACCCGCACGACCCAACCAGGGCCGGGGACAAATCGCAACCGAGGTACATGCCCCTAGCGGGAACCGAACCCGGGTCTCTCTGGACCACAGGTCGACGCTCCACTGCTGAGCCAAATTGGCCAGGGCTGGATGCTCACGGTTTGAAATCTTGGGGGCCCCTATCCGGGTTAAACTTCAAGAGTCTTCAGGAATCACTGCTGCAGAACAGTGCTGGAGAAAAGTCCAGACAGTACCACATGAGGATGTGGTCCAGATGTGTTAGCAACTGTGTGCTTGAAGCTTTGAAAACATAGGTGAATTGATTTTTACTCAGAGTTAAAAAAAAAAAAAGTTTCCCACCAAATAACACCTCTCCTGATTTTATGGATGAATAACCAAGTTTGGAAAGAGGTAGAAGAAATGTGTATTTCATTAATAAAATTAGAGTGGAAGCTAGTGTTCAATCCACAGACACAAGTTCAGAAAACAGAGGTGATTTCTCAGCCACATAATGCAAGCACACAGAAGTTAGACAAGCAGCAAAGGGGACTGGGTTCACATGCCAGCTCTGCCTCTACTTGCTTAGATGATCTTATCTTTTGGTAGTAACTTTTCATCTATGAAAAGGACCCTCCTTACATTCCTTCCGAGGGAATGAAAAGAAGACCCCTTTGAGAATCTTCTGATAAAAATCGTCCCCTCTCCCCAAAGAAACCCATATTCACACATACAAATGCAGTTATTACATTTAATGCTGGGGAGTTCTAATTCTTTGGAATCTTCCCAAGGGCTCCAGGTTCAGAATTCTTATAATATATAATTGAAGAGTGGTATTTTTCTTTCTTTCTTTTTTTTTTCTTTTTTGTTAATCCTAACTAAGGATATTTTTACATTTATCTTCAGACAGAGTAGGAGAGAGAGAAACATCGATGTGAGAGAGACACATCAATTGGTTGCTACCCGCACGACCCCAACCAGGGCCGGGAACAAACTGCAACCGAGGTACATGCCCTTGGCTGGAATCAAACCCGGGACTCTTTGGTCCGCAGGCCAACACTCTAACCACTGAGCAAACTGGCCAGGGCAAGAGTGGTATTCTTTTTTTTTTTTAATCCTCACCCAAGGACATTTTTTCATTTTTTGTTCAGATAGAGTAGGAGGGAGGGAGAGAGAGAAACATCGACGTGAAAGGGACACATCGAGTGGTTGCCACCCGCACAACCCAACCAGGGCCGGGGAAACTGCAACCGAGGTACGTGCCCTTAGCGGGAACTGAACCTGGGTCTCTCTGGACCATAGGTCGACGCTCTAACCACTGAGCCAAACCGGCCAGGGCAAGAGTGGTATTCTTAATGCCTTGGCCTCTCTAAGCTGCAAGCAAGGATAGGGTGGTTCGCTGTACTCACGTCATCTGAGTGTGACTCTTCTTCCTCCTCCTTTCCCCCTTCTTCCTCAGGCTCTCCACAGAGGCTGGCTGGTATGTCTGTCAGGTAGGTTCCCTGGGGTATTTCCTCACCCTCAGCTGTGTACACAAGCTCTTCCTGCTCCACAGTCTCTGAGTCCTCATATTTGAATGGCACATTGCCATAGCGCCGGGAGGAGCCTGTCTTGGGGAACTGGAGCTGCAGCTGGGTGATAATCCGAGGGGGCAGGCGGCAGGCCCGGATCAACTCCAGAAAGACCTGCAGGGGCGTTCCCACATTTCCACTGGGCATCAGCACTGGTGGATTCAGCTCTGGCAATTGCTTTAGGTCAGCAAGAGTAAAGGATTCACCCTTGGCCTTCCGACTCTGCAGTTCCTTCCGGGTCTTGAAGGGAAAGGAGCCCAAACCTTGGGAAGCAGGGAGAAGAATGGCTCTTGAAACCTAGAAGGCTCCAGCAACACTTGAGCCAGAAATCAGCCAAGGTTCAAATCCTTTACCAATGCTGTTCCTCCCTTTCAAACTTTCCCAGAATCCCTTCCTCCATTCCCTGACTAGAACCAACTAGTAATTTCATGCCATTTCTCATCAATTCTTTTGAGCACACAAGTTTCTTCCATATCTGATCCCTGTTGATCTTTTGATTCTCAACTGCCACCACCCTGCATATTCTCAATAGCCCCTGCATATTCTCGTGTCATGTGTCCCAACCACATCAAACAATTTAACATTTAAGCCCTGAAAGTTTCATGAGCTTTCACATCTCTGTCGTTGCAAATACCATTTACTTTGAACATCATTCTTTCCCACAAACTTTGTTATTTTTCAAGAATCAGATGAAAAGCCTGATCCCTATAGGAAATCAGTTTCTCCCTCCTCTTATCTTTTCACTACACTTGGTGATAATCAGCATAGGCTCTGGAGCAAAATACCTGGGTTTGCATTGTAACTCTGCCACTTACTAGCTCTGTAACCTTGGGCAATCAACATAACTTATGCATCCCTCAGTTTCCTCACTTGTAAAATGGGAAACAATAGGTTCTAGCTTATAGGATTGTTGTGAGGAGTCAATAAGAAAATAAAAGGCTTAGAACAGTGCCTAGAAAGTACACAGGAAGTGCTCAGTAAACATTAAAAATCAGAATGGCATCTCAGTGACAATTACCTTTTTACAAGTCTGTCTTCCTCTCTGGACTCTACACATGAATGTGTCCAATTGTTCTCTGCCTACCAGCTAGAGTAACACTAGGTCTAGCAATAGAAGCTACATTTGTTGAATAAATGGATTAAAGGGCTCTGCACTATTTCCTGTTCCCCATCAAAGTGATTTCCCATTAAAATGGGATATGTCCTGAGAAAAGAAACTAACTTCATTTGCATCTTGCCAAGAGAAAACTGGATGGGGAGTAAGGAAGAGAGCAGATCAAGACAGTAAGAGGATTAGAAACCTGATTTACTTTTTATCCTCCTGTGTCAGTGCAAAATCAACCCCTTAGATGGAGAAAAGGGTGTCGAAGAGGGCATAATAAATTGGAAAATGTTAGATCATCCACATAGGCCTCTTGCCATTTTTGCTTTTTTCCGATTAAACTAACTCAAGTTGAGCCGGAAGCCTGTCCAGAAATGACCTAACCTTCTAAAGAGTTGTAACCAAAGACGTGACTTATCCTCATCACCCGTCAAGAAATGTGCTTGCGTTCCAAGTCCAGTCTATTATTTTCCCAACCGTACCTGATGCCTCAGTAGGTAGCCGAAGTCTGCGGATGCAACAACGACTGGGCAACCAAGTCCCCTGAGAATCCAGCCACCGACGGCCCGAATACATGCGAAGAAGCCTCTTGGCTTCAGCCGCCCCACGTACGGAGATGACGCAGCAGCAGGTGCGGGTCTGGGCGAGGACAGAGTCCCGAGTGGAGAAAGTGTGGCCATCAGTGACTGAAATCTGGGTAAGACTCTGGCCTATAGGAGTTAGGGTAGAATCGGGAGTAGCCTGGGAAGGGGCCCGCTCAGGACGATGCCGGTAATGGAAACAAAGGAAGCCACAGCCGCTCTGTTCCCGGAACTGGCTGAAGTAGCTCCGTAGCTGGGCCGAGCGCAGCTCCGAGGGGATGCCACTCACTATTAAGTAAACCGTCGCATCTTCTTCTGCTTCGCCGGGCGCCGCCATCTTGGATCGTCACATGATCCTTTGGAAGCAATTATCGCGAGAACACTGGGAGTGATTCCCGACGGTTTGTGTCACAATACTGAGTAATCCGTGATTAGTTCGCCGGGGGTGTGGATATGTAACTGGAAACTGGGGAGATCCCGGAGAGGTTCTTTGGATCTATTTTCTACAGAGTAGCAGATAATCATGGGAAAACGCCTGAGAAGTGGGGTTACGGAACTCTTTCACAAACTCTTATGAGGATCAAATTAGAAGCCTGAGGGAGGCTTAGTTTTCAAGATTTTTAGTTGTTGGGGATCTCCCCAACCTAATCTCAGTTCGTTCTTATTTCAGAGACTTTTAGTTCATTCATTTATTCTTCCGAAACATATTGATGGACTTTCACAAATCAGTAAGAAAAGATAATCCAGTTGAAAAGTGGGACACAGTCACTTCACAGAAGAGAAACACTTCCAATTAATACTGAAACATGGTCAATCTCATTATTAATCAAGGAAAGGCAATAAGACCCACTTCATATCCACCAGATTGGCAAAAAAAAAAAAAAATTAAATCCTTAAGTGTCCCCGAGGATGTGGAGCAAGCGAACATACCATACACCCGTTGGTGGAAGTGTGAACTGGTACAGCCACTTTGGAAAATAATTTGGCATTGCCCAGTAAAAGTGAATCTACACATATCTTTTGTTGTTGTTGTTGTTAATCCTCACCTGAAGATATTTTTCCATTGATTTTTAGAGAGAGTGGAAGGGAGAGAGAAAAAGAGGGAGAAGCATGGATGTTAGAGAAACATGGATTGGCTACCTGCAGAAGGACCCCAGGGCCAGGAATCAAACCTGTGACCCAGGTAAGTGCCCTTGACCGGGAATCAAACCATTGACCCTTTGGTCTGCAGGGACGCTCCAACCTGCTGAGCAAAACTGGCCAGGGCTCTTTTTTTAAAATTTATCTTTATTGTTGAAAGTATTACAGATGTCCTCCCTTTTTCCTCCCATTGACACCCTCCTCTTCGCTCCAGTCCCCCACCCTGCCTTCAGTACACTGTTGTCTGTGTCTATTGGTTATGCATATATGTTATTTGGTTTATCTCTTCCCGCCCTCCCACCCCACTTCCCTCTGAGATTTGTCAGTCTGTTCCCTACTTCCATGACTCTGGATCTAGCTTGTCCTCAGTTTATTTTGTTCATTGTATTCCACAAATAAGTGAGATCATGAGATACTTATCTTTCTCTGACTGGCTTATTTCACTTAGCATAATGCTCTCCAGGTCCCTCCATGTCATCTCACAGGATAAGAGATTGCTCTTTCTTACAGCTGCACAGTGTTCCATTGTGTAAATGTACTACAGCATTTTAAAACACTCATGTACTGTTGGACGCTGGGGCTGTTTCCAGATCTTAGCTATTGTAAATAGCGCTGCTATGAACATAGGGGTGCATATATTCTTTCTGATTGGTGTTTCAGGCTTCTTAGGATATATTCCTACAAGTGGGATCACTGGGTCAAATGGCAGTTCCATTTTAAATTTGTTGAGGAAACAGCAGTTCCACTTATAGGTATATACTTTAAAGAAATCCTTGCTTATGTTTATCAGGAGATGTATTGACGTCGTTGCACTTTACCAACCCTGTGATCCTGGAAAACGGGGAGGGTTATGAGACCCCTCCCACCCTTCTGTGTTCTAGAACATAGGTTACTGCAAAGAAACACCCTTCTATGACAGATAAAACTTAAGGGCGCCCCCTTGTTTACCTGTGACAATACACAGGCTCCAAATTCCAATTCTCGCCTCATAAATGCTCAGATTAACTGCTTGTCCCCACTGATCAATCACAACAAAAGGCTTGTTTACTAAACTTTGGTTAAGCTTCTCTCTTTCCCCCAGGTCCCTGAACTTTGTGCCCCCCCTCAGCTTGAGCCAACACACAGCTCCTGCAGAGAATAGGCTGGCTTCAGGGTAAAATGGTCGCTTCATGCCACTCCTGGTCATCCCACATTCTCACACCCAATTCTTTCTAGCCTTGTTTACTCCTCCCTATGAAAGAAGAACACTTTTGCCTAACCCCTGAAACACGTGTAGATCTAATGATAAGCGTGTTCTCCCATTGCAAAAGCTTACCTCTTACTATTGCAATAGTTACTTTCCTCCCTTGCAGTAATCATTTCAAATAAAGTCTTTCCTTACTAAGTCCAGATTTGTTTTTATTTGACAGTATACATGAATATTCATAACTGCATTGTTTGTAAGAGCAAAAAAAATTGGCATTTAGCACTAATAATCTCAGGAATAAATGTTGAGCGAAGCCTGGCTGGTTTGCTCAGTGGTTAGAGCATCAGCCCGTGGACCAATGACTCGTGGGTTCAATTCCGGTCAAGGGCACATACCTTGGTTGCAGTTCATCCTAGCCCTGCTCGGGGTTGTGCAGGAGGCAACCAATCGATGTGTCCCTCTCATGTTGATGTTTCTGTTTCTCTCCCTCTCTATCTGAAGATAAATAGAAAAATATCCTCAGGTGAGGATTTGAGAAAAAAAGTTGAGTGAAAGTAAGCAAGTCAGAAAACACAATTATTCTATTTATATAAAGTTCAAAAATACAAACTAAAAATGGCTTTTTAGGGATACATAAATAAGTGTGCTTTAGGATCATAAAGAAACATCCTAAAATTCAGGGTACTCATTACTTTTGGGGACTTCAAAGTTGATTGTAATTATGACCTATGGAACAATGATGAAGATTCATTGTAATGTTATTCTTTATATATATTTTATAAATAATTTGTTTAATTTTAATAAAAACATCTTAAAAGGGAAAATAATTCATATTTCAAAAACATAGCCCTGGCCGGTTTGGCTCAGCGGTTAGAGCGTCGGCCTGCGGTCCAGAGAGACCCGGGTTCGGTTCCCGCTAAGGGCACGTACCTCGGTTGCAGTTTGTCCCCGGCCCTGGTCGGTCGTGCGGGTGGCAGCCACTCGATGTGTCCCTTCACATCGATGTTTCTCTCTTTCTCTGTTCCTCTCTCTCCCTCCCACTCTACCTGAACAAAAAATGGAAAAATGTCCTCGGGTGAGGATAAAAAAAAACATAAAGCAAGTTGTTACTTTGTGGTGATAACAAGTTTACACCTATTTGAGAAAAAATAAAACAGTTCTAACGAACGTCTGGGTAATTGTGAATGGGGACAATGTTATACCTGGATTCTAAAATTCTCTGGTGGAAGTCCATTTGGAAAACTGGCAAGATCTACCCAAGTTGATCACACTTTCTATGACTTGGAATTTCGAGTTCTTATTATATAGCAACAGGTCTGCAAACATCTGTGCACCAAAAGACATATACAAGAATAATCCTAGCCATAGTATTTGATGAACCAAATGTTCATCATAGTATATGGGTAAATGAATTGTAGTATAATGGGATACTGTACAGTGAGCATGAGTGGATTACTGCTACATAACAGAAGAATGAATCTCAGACATAATATTGAGTGAAAGAAGACAAACATGAAAGAGTACATGCTATATGATTCCATTTATATAAAGTTTAAAACATACAATCTCATTTATGAAATCAGGGATAGGGATACCCTTTGGGGGAGGGGGAGGGTAGTGATGGGATGGTTTCTGGGATATTGCTAATGCTCTTCTATTTCTTGAGCTGATTGGTGGTTACAGAGATGTATTCATTTTGTGATCATTCATCAAGCTATACATGTATGACTTGTGTACTTTTTAGTTAAAAAAAGTTTAGTTAAAACTATATCTTTGAAAATTGAAAAATAAATGCTTTACAGCAAACAATGTGGACCAAAATAAAGATGGGATGCTTTGGAAAAGCTGTTAAATGACCTGAGAAGTTATGCATTTATGATTTCACACAATTGCCATTTGTGGACTAAATTTTCAGGACCTCTCATGATGCTAGGTATGTAGTAGATTCTCAGTAAATCATCATTGATGGAATGAATATTCCTGGCACTATCATGGGGATATGCCACTAGGTGTTAGCTGGGGACTCTCTCCAGAAAATATGGGACTACTTCTGTGAGAGAACACACAGGCCAGATTTCTCATCAAAACTTAAACCAGAAGGTAACCAAGACTACATTTGCACACTCATTCTGCCTTATAGTGGGGTGGGGAGGGGAAGGAGTCTAGGTGCTGGTATTTATTTTCCAGCTGATCATCCCTGACCTTTAAAGACACAAGATAGCGTAGTGTTTCAGAGCATAGGCCCTAAATCCAGACCATCTGAGTTCAAATCCTGACCCTAATACTTATTAACTGTGCAACCTTGAGCAAGTTACTTAACATCTCTGTGCCTTGGTTTCTTTATCTATAAAATGAGATAATGATAGTACTTCCAGCACAGTTGTTGTGAGAATTAAATAATATAATCCATGTAATATGTTTAGAACACAGCTTTCAATAAATGTTTAGTAGCTACCCAGAATGACCTACCAGGAATGGGTGGTGCCCTTTGTTAATCTTGATTACCCTGAGAGTTTAGCCCTGTCACCTCTACCAGTTTCACTGCTGCCTTGTTCTGTGACATGGTGTCTGTCCACCAACTTTGCTGCCCTGGGCCCCAGCTGCCCCAGACCATTTGCCATTAGCTAAGCACCTTTGCTCTCTGACACATCTGTGCCTTTGCACCTGTCATCCCCTCTGTGTGGAATGCCCTTCCCTTGGTTCCCTTGCTTGTCAAACCCCTATTCATTCTCTTTAGCTCAAAGCAGTCTCATTTGGCTGAAGCGTTTTTTCCCACCTCCAGGTAGATTTAATCACTTCCTCTTCTGAGCTCCTGCTGCCTATTGTATTCCCTGTATTACAGTTCAGATCATTCTGTGTTACGATTACTACTTATGTGTCTCTCTTTGCCATAGACAGGAAGTTCGATGAAATCAGGTACTGCGTCTTATTTGTACTGTGTCACTTGGCGTCTAGCACAGGATCTGGTACAAGTGGATGACAAGAGAGATGTTGAGTGGTGGAATGAATGGATGGATGGCTTTTTGCAGGCATCATCCAGTTCTAGGATATGTGACTGCCCCAAGGCCAGGGTGTGTCAGTGCAGGGCACAGCTCACGTCAGTGGCTGACTGCTTAATAAGCAGTCAATGATTTGGCTAATAAAGGTAGTGATAATAATGATAATAAAATAGTACCTGAGACTGACCCTGCTTCCTAGTGAGTCATCCCTGGGCCTGAGGACAGAGGTCATGGCTGAAAGGTAGATGGTCAGTGAACAGTGGCTGACATGGCTCCAGACAGCCTGACCCTGGCCATGACTCACCCAGGCTGTACCGGTGACAGGAGCCTGGTCTCCAGAGTCCCACAGGCCTGCATTCAAATCCCAGCACAGTAATCTTCCCAGATCTTGAGTAAGTTTTGTGTTGTTATTTATTTATTTATTTATTTATTTATTTATTTATTTATTTATTTATTTATATCCCCACCCGAGGACATTTTTCCATTTTTTTGTTCAGATAGAGTGGGAAGGGGAGAGAGAGAGAGAGAGAGAGAGAGAGAGAGAGAGAGAGAGAGAGAAACATCGAAGTGAAAGGGACACATGGAGTGGCTGCCTCCCGCACAACCCAACCAGGGCCGGGACAAATGCAACCGAGGTATGTGCCCTTAGCAGGGACCAAACCCAGGTCTCTCTGGACCACAGGCCAACGCTCTAACCGCTGAGCCAAACCAGCCAGGGCTGTGTTGTTGTTTTTCTTTATTTATTTTTTTTTATTTTAGAGAGAAAGAAAGGGAAAGGAAGAGAGAGAAACATCGATGAGAGATAACATTGATTGGCCACCTCCTGCATGCCCCCATTGGGGATTTGGCCTACAACCTGGGCATGTGCCCTGACCGGGAATCGAACTGGCGACCTCTTGGTGCATGGGTCGATGCTCAACCACTGAGCCACACCAGCTGGACGGCTTGAGTAAGTTTTAAACCCTGTCTGAGCCCTGGCCGGTTTGGCTCAGCGGTTAGAGCGTCAGCCTGCAGTACGGAGAGACCCGGGTTCGGTTCCCGCTAAGGGCACGTACTTCGGTTGCAGTTTGTCCCCGGCCCTGGTTGGTCGTGCGGGTGGCAGCCACTCGATGTGTCCCTTCGCGTCGATGTTTCTCTCTCTCTCTCCCTTCCTCTCTCTCCCTCCCACTCTATCTGTACAAAAAATGGAAAAATATCCTCGGGTGAGGATAAAACAAAACAAAACAAAACAAAACAAAAACCCTGTCTGAGCCCAGCCGGTGTGGCTCAGTGGTTGAGCATCGACCCATGCATCAAGAGGTCTTCAGTTTTCCCTGTCCAGTTTGACTCAGCGGTTAGAGCATCGGCCTGCGGTCCAGAGAGACCCGGGCTTGGTTCCTGCTAAGGGCACGTGCCTAGGTTGCAGTTGGTCCCTGGCCCTGGTTGGGTTGTGCGGGAGGCAGCCACTCCATGTGTCCCTTTCACTTCGATGTTTCTCTTTCTCTCTCTCTCTCTCTCTCTCTCTCCCTCCCTCCCTCCCTCCCTCCCTCCTACTCTCTCTGAACAAAAAAAGGAAAAATGTCCTCAGGTGAGGATAAAAAAAAAAAAAGAGGTGTCCAGTTTGATTCTCAGTCAGGGAACATACCCAGGTTGTAGGCCCGACCCCCAGTGGGGGGCATGCAGGAGAGAGCCATTGGATGTTCTCTCTCATCAATGTTTCTTCTTTTTTTTTTATCCTCACCTGAGGTCTTCAGATAGAGCTGGAGACAGAGAGGGAGGAAGAGAGGGAGAGAAACATCAGTGTGAGAGAAACATCAACTGGTTGTCACCCACACGACCCCAACCTGGGCCGAGGACAAACTGCAACCTAGGTATATGCCCTTAGCAGGGACCAAACCCGGGTCTCTCTGGTCTGCAGGCTGACGCTCCAACTGCTGAGCCAAACTGGCCAGGGCTCTCATCAATGTTTCTGTTTCTATCTCTCTCTCTTCCTCTCACTTTTTCTCTCTCTCTAAAATCAATAAAGAAAAATAAATAAATAAACCCTGGCTGAGCCTGTTTCCTTCTCTACCTTCTCTGGTTAATGAGACAGAGGTCCCACTCCTAAGATGCTGATAATGGAGAAACAGTCCCCCACCTTTGGAAAGCCTGCGGTTTCACAGAGAAAGCCTTGCTTTCATTATTACATTGTACTACAATTCTCCTTTAGTTTTGCTATATTTGCCTTGTGTTTCTCTGAAGATGGCTTGGGTAGGGCATAGGAAGTGATTCAAGAGGTACAGAAGTGTAGCTCCCAAACCATGTGGAGGGGTAGGGAAGAAATTTGAAAAGATCCAAGGTAGGGTTAATGAGGAAGCTACTTGGATGATGGAAACATAAGTTGAGGGGAAAAGACTGGGGTGGGTAGTGGAGAGGAGTGCCTTCTAATTAATGGCTGTTCAGGGCTGGAGTGAGGAAGGGTAAGAAGCAGGAAGACTCAGCCTGAAGGTTCAAAGAGGTGCAAAACTCATGGAATCAGTTAGTGAAGGGACATAAAAGATAGAATGCCCAGAAATCCCTAAATCTGCTGGATCTGGCTGCTATGGGGAGACAAGGCATCTGCTCTGGAAAGAATTGCCTCCTGCAACTGCAAGGTGAGAGGGGGCAGTGTGTGCCAAAGTGCTGGGCAGGGCAGGGTGGGAGAGGTGCCTGAGGGCCTGAAGTCTAGGCCTCGGGTGTTTGGTAGTGGATGAGAAGTTGGGGGAGAAGCAGGACTTATTCTGAGCTCTAAAGGATGCTTCCATTTGGTTTTGATTAGGTCCTGGCTGGAAGGAACTGTTGAGCAGGGCATGGCCTGGTTAAGAGGAGGGTGGATATTGGGGTCACCATGAGGAAAGGGGGTAAGTAGTTGAAGCCCCAAATGCCAGGCAGAGCAGTTTGGCCTGGATTTTCAGGCTCTGGGTAGACCTGGTAGATGTGCAAATGCAGGTCTGCCTGCTTTGAGGGGTCACTTTTCCTTTTACTGTGACACACAAAAGTTGGAGAATACACCCTATTGTGAGGGTGTCTGTGTTGTGTATCCCACCCTTGGGTGTAGGAGTGTATGTGTGATCGTCTGGCCTGGGTGCCTGTTTTTGCAGTGTGAATGTGTTTGGGTCTGTTATATGTCACTGAGTAAGTGTTACTGTATTCCATGCTCTGTGTGGGTGGATGGAGTGTCTTTTATGGGTCTGTGTAGGTGTGTCTGAGTTGTCCATCTTAGTGTATGTGTGTGTGTGTGTGTGTGTGTGAGAGAGAGAGAGAGAGAGAGAGAGAGAGAGAGAGAGAAAGAGTGCGCGTGCTATAGGTCTGAGTTGTGTGTGTCCTTGTTGTGGGGTCTGAACTGTGTGTTTCTGTCTCATTCTGGGTTTCTGAGTGGGTGATAAGGTAAGGGACAGGGGTGCCTTGCTGCTGCCCATAATGGGTATAGGGCCAATTCAGCTGTGGTTCCTGTCCTGGGGGCCTTAGGGAGAGGCCTGAATGACGACTCCACTCCTAGACTGTCATCCCTGAGTGAATGACCTCTCATTGAGCAATAGTTAACTTGGCCCCGTGAGAAAAATTCAAACTGTGTTGGTGAAGGGGGTGGGAACTGGTCAAGACAGGCCTTATTGCTGGAGAAAGGAGGAGGCCTGAAAGGGAGTCCTATAGGCATGTGTGTTGTTATCATTCCCTCCTGTCCACCCTGTAGGTCAGTCACCCTGTCCTGGGTGCTATTCAAAATATTTAACAAACAGTGAGGAACAGAGGTTGACCAGTCGGGACAGACACAAGACCATGCCCTGAATGGAGCAGTCCTAGAGGCCAAGTCTGTGCCAATTATTGCCTCTAGTTGCTGAACAATGGGAATGGATTCCAGGAGAAGGACTGGAATACACGGGCAGTGCAAAGGAGCTTGGGGAGCTTGGTCAGTGACTGTGAACCAACTGGAAGTGTTTCAGATGTTAGCAACTAATGTAGCAGCTAAACCTCTGCTTGCCTTGACTTTGAGCAGCTGCCAGGCCAGCCCTGGTTGTTCTTGCCCCTCCCACTGGAGGTGTTCTTGCCCTCTTCTGTTGGCTGCAGGCATGGGGGAAGTGAATGATGCCCAACTGCAGACATTCCAGTGACTTTGTCTGTTTCAGTTTGGGAATGGGCTGCTTTATTTTCTTTGTTGGCTATGATCTGACTCTCACTTAGGTGAGAGGGAGACTGTAGGGGGCAGGAGCTGAGGATCGGGTCAGTGAGGGATTTGGGGACAAAGAGAAACCCCTTCCCCACAAAGATAAAGGCAGGGAGGTGATGGGGTCTTGAACTGATCCTGTCCTCTGGATTCAGACCCATGCAAAATAAATATCATCCCCAGAAATGCAATCATCCACTCTGAAAATTAATATCCTGGGTCTCTGAGGCCTGGCTCCTGCATCCCTTATTGTTCCTTCTTCTTGGACTCCCTCTGATGGGGGATAGGGGCTGGGGGCTAAGGTGAGATGGTCCCTTTCACATGCACAAACTACAGTGTCAGGCTCCATGGGTGTAAAACTTTTATTACAAAAACCAATAACTTAAGTCAGTTCTGTACAAAGTCAGTAGGATACCTGGTCCAATGAGCAGTCTAAATTTCCACCCCCATCCCAGGAGAGAACAGGAGTCTTGGCCCAGAGAATTTGGGGACTACAAAGGGCCAGCCAGACAGCTGGAGCACTGTGTCCAAACCAAGGAAAGCCAAGACGGGTCTGGCTGAGTGAGGATCTATTCAGTCCATCTGGCTGGGCCAGGGCCAGCTTGCTCCTGGGAGCCGAATGCTGTGTGCACAGGCTTGCCTCCTCTGGGAGCATTGGGTCACCCTTGGGGACAGTCTGGCCAAATCAGTATTGCCAGCTTCTGCTCAAGCTACAGCTGATCTCTGCTTGGGCCGGAGCAGGTCGGCTCAGCAAAAGCATGTCCTCGAGGAGGCTAGTGATGTCAACATCTCCAATGATAGGGCGAAAGAAAAGGTCCCCAAGAAGGCTGGGCGGAATGGACTTGAGGGTGGAGGCTGTGAGGAGAACACGAGCCAAACGGCCTTGGGCTGCTGGGCACCAGGGCTCCAGGACCTCACACAGTGCTTGATGAGCTTCCTGCTGCAGATGCCAGATGTGGGAGGAGGCGTGGAGGCCTGGCATGTCTGTAGGCAGAGGGTAAAGAGGGCTGGTGAACACTCTATTCCCAGCCACCACAGGGGGACTGGCCCCAGACCTGAGGTTACTGCTCAGCTTTTGAGGCCCCGTTACTACCTCCTCTATTTACTTATCATTTTATTCATCCATCCATTTATGGAAAGGTAGTATAGAGTAATGGTGAAGAGCCAGGCTGCCTAAATTTGAATCCCAGGCTGTCACTTATTAGCTGTATGTCATCTCTGTGCCTTGGTTTCCTCATTTGTAAAATAGGTATCATAATAGTACTTAACTCTTTGGCCTGTTATGAGCTGGTATATGTAAAACTATGGTATAAACTGGTACATGTAAAACCTAACATATGGTGCCCAACCGGTGTGGTTTAGTGGATTGAGCATCATCCCATGGACTGAGAGGTCCTGCTTCGATTCCCAGTCAAAGCACATGCCCAGGTTGCAGGCTCAATTCCCAGTAGGGGGCTTGTAGGAGGCAGCAGATCGATGTTTCTCTCTCACATGGATGATTCTATCTCTCTCTCTCTCTAAAAAAATCAATAAAAACATTTAAAAAACAACATATGGTAAGTGTAATATGAGTATTTCCCTACTATTATTATAATTAATTACTATAATTTACATATTTGTTGAGGGCCTCTTAGTGAGGAATTCTCAACTAGATGCTCTCCAGATTACAAAGAACACCATCTCTATCTGTTGCTCTCCTGGGTGAATTTTGTGAAGGCTCCTGCCTCTCCTTCCCCACACCCACTCATTTTCATTCCTCTACTCTATGCGATCTTTCTGAACCCCCGGAGTTTTACCTGTGATTGAGGCACAGCTGTGTCTGCCCACCCTCCCCTCTTCCACTCCTACCCTTCTTGCGGGTCAGGGCAAGTTTCTTGGGCAGAGTGGCAAGGGCCAGTCTCTAGTGTGAACAGACCTGAGTTTTGCCCCTACCTGGCTGTGACCTTCAGCAAGTCACTTAGCCTCTCTGAGCCTCTTTCGTGAGATGGCTGGTTTAAATAAGGAGGACCCAGAGATAATGAATGTCAAACCCTTAGAAGGTGCCTTCCTTGGCTGGGCCCTGCCCCCTTCCAGCCTTGGCCCTCATCCTGGAGTGTCTGGGAGCTCACCAGGGTTGAAGAGGATGGTCCCTTTCAGGTAAGCATACTCTTTGGGGCTCAGCTCCAGGCTCCAGAAGGACTCCAGGCAGCACTGAAGCCACTGCACCGCAGCCAGTGAGGGCTGGGGCCGATCCGGCTGCTGGCCGCTTCTTGCACTGCTGCTGGGCTCCTCCAGCAAGATCTTCTTGAGTATGCTGGGAACCGGGGCCTCCACCACTTCGAAGGTCACAGTGTCTTGGGCCAACCCAATCAGGAAGAGGGAGCCCCAGCAACCCCGCAACAGCTGCTGCTGATCCTGGAAGGGCAGCTGGCAGAAGGACGGCAGGTTCCTGAGGAAGACCACTGTCTTGGCCAGAACATCCACGGCCTCCCTGCAGGTGCGATGGGGAGCACACAGCCGGACAGGCCGGTGCTGACTGCAGAGGCAGTGCCTATGGGCTGGGGGCACAGAAGGTCTGGCCCTGAGGCTGGGGCTCAAAAGTGCATACAGAATGGCTGGGCGCCCTGCAGCACGCTGGCATGGACAGGTCCCCGGCTTGCTGGAGCTCATGGCTGAGAATCTGCTCCTCCTTCCTCCCAGCTCTCCCACCCTCTGCTTTGGCCTGCAGGTGCTATTTATATCCCCAGTGGGGAGGAGGGGAAAATGGTTCAACAACCTTGACTCCAGAAGTCATGTTCATTGAACAAAAAAAAAAAGAAACACACTGACCCTGGCAGGTCTGGTGGGGAAGTGCTGGGGGAGGGGACTTAGGAGCTCCACGTGGCCCTGCTATCACTTTAGTCAATGAAGTGGCTGGTGCAGGGCATGGGGCCGCCTGTCGGCTGGCCCGGCTGCCCCTTATCGGATGACTCAAGTGGATAAACAGGGTCATTAACCCAAGCTGTACCAGGGCACCAAGGCCTCAGGTGCACAATCAGCAGGTGGCCATGGCAGGTGTCCCTACTGGTGCCTGCAGGACTCTTGCTAAGCTGGGAAGTCAGCCCCAGAGCTGGACAAGCCTTGAACCCAAGGCCCAACCTGGAAGTGCCTTATCACTGGCTTGTTTGCCTAACCTTGGGGCTCAGCTCCTGTTGTTGGTAAGGAACAGGCTGCAGGGAAGGGAGCCAGGACCTGGGGGGCTGGGAGGACTTTGCCCACTGTGCAGTTTAGGAGGCCCCTTCCTCTGACTCAGTTCTGGGTACCCTGCAGAAATAAGGTCCTCGAGAACTCTCTTTCCTCAGTCTGGATTCCTAGAGCTCCTGAGAGGCCATATTTGCTGAGAAACCCTTGCAGAATGACAATAAAATATCACTGCTGTTTATTGAACACCTACTATATGCCAGAAACTTTCCACTGTGATATTCAGAGCTTCCCTATAAGTAAGATTTTTTACTTTTTGAGACTCAAAGAGGTGAAGTAAATTGCCCAAGGTCATGCCACTAAGAAGAGAGAGAGCCCATATCTGTCTGACTTCAAAGCACTTGCTTGTTCTTCTGTACCCATTGGCCCAATTGTGCAGCTAGTGCTGTGTGGCCTGAGTTTCCCAGAGTTGGTGGCTATCTGGGCCCCCACCTTGGTACTGCTTTGTCTGCAGATGTTGCCCACTTATAATGTAGGCAAAAGCGTTGCTCTACCACTAGCCACAGGGCAACTCTGTCCCTGGCAACTATTTCAAATGGTGGGGCATGGGGTGCGAGAGTGGTAGGAAGGTCCTCAGCCATGTCATGTCTGTGGACATTGCCAAGCCCAGCCTGGGTAACCATCACCATCCCTGGCATCTGCTCCTGGCTCCCAGTTGTGTGACCTTGGGCTGATCCCCAAATCTCTGTGGGCCTCAGGAGCTTCACCTGGAATAGTAATGTCTGCCTGCAGGGCTGCTGTGAGGTCAAAGTGAGGTCCTGGATGTCATATTCTGAGCAGTTTGTGGCATATGTTAAGATTTTGCTCCCCCATATCCTCAGCAGACAAATAATCTTTTTTATTTTTTTCTTTATTGTTTAGTGAGAGAGGAAGGGAGAGGGAGAGAGAGATAGAAACATCGATGAGAGCCCTGGCCAGTTTGGCTCAGCGGTTAGAGTGTCGGCCTGCGGTCCGGAGAGACCCGGGTTCGGTTCCCGCTAAGGGCACGTACTTTGGTTGCAGTTTGTCCCCGGCCCTGGTTGGTCGTGCGGGTGGCAGCCACTCGATGTGTCCCTTCACTTCGATGTTTCTCTCTCTCTCTCCCTTCCTCTCTCTCTCTCCCACTCTATCTGTACAAAAAAAAAAAAAAAAGGAAAAATATCCTCGAGTGAGGATAAAAAAAAAAAAAAAAAGAAACATCGATGAGAGAGAACATTGATTGGCTGCCTCCTGCATGCCCCCACATTGGGGATTTGGCCCACAACCTGGGCATGTGCCCTGACCAGGAATTGAACCGGCGACCTCTTGGTGCACGGGTCCACGCTCAACCACTGAGCCACATCGGCTGGGCTGATTGTTAATAATCTTAATCCTTACATTTATAAAGTTGCTGTCATGTCCTTTTTTTGTCACTGAATCCTCACAGCATTCCCTCAAAGGAGACTGGAGTCAGACTGCCTAAGTCTAAATCCTGCTCCATTACTTAGCCGAGTGATCTTGGGCAAATCATTTTAGATCTGTGCTTCAGTTTCCTCACCCTTAAAAGCGTTACAAGAAAGGCAATATCCCTATAGTAGATATTGGTTTTATGGGGCCTGAAGCGTATACAATTTGGAGGGCCTTCTTTAATAATAGAAAAGCAGGCATAAAAGTGGATATTTGTTATTATTATTATTTTTTAGAAAGAGAGGAATGGAAGGAGGGAGGAAGAGTTGGGGAGCACAGCGATCAGTTCCTACTGAACATGTTCTGGGGATCGAACCTAAGTATGGGCCCTGACTGGGAATCAAACCCTTGACCTTCTTGTGCATGGGATGACACTCCAGTCAACTAGGCCATGCCACCAGGGCAAAAGTGGATATTTAAAATAAGAAAACAGCTCTGGTCAGTTTTTCTCAGTGGTTAGAGCGTTGGCTCATGGACCAAAGAGTTGCAGGTTCAATTCCTGGTCAAGGGCATGTACCTGAGTTGTGGGTTCAATCCCTGGCCCCAGTCGGGGTCGTGCAGGAGGCAGCCAATCGATGTGAGTCTCATATCGATGTTTTACTCTCTCTCCCTTCCTCCCTTCCACCCTGTATAAAAATCAGTGGGAAAATATCCTTAGGTAAAAATTTTTTAAAAGAAGGGAAAACAGCCCTGGCCAGTTTGGTTCAGCGGTTAGAGCATCAGCCTGCGGTCCCGAGAGACCCAGGTTCGGTTCCCGCTAAGGCGCGTACCTTGGTTGCAGTTTGTCCCCGGCCCTGGTTGGTCGTGTGGGTGGCAGCCACTCGATGTGTCCCTTTCACGTCGATGTTTCTCCCTCTCTCTCTCTGTTCCTCTCTCTCCCTCCCACTCTACCTGAACAAAAAATGGAAAAATGTCCTCAGGTGAGGATAAAAAAAAAAGAAAAAAAAAAAGAAGGGAAAACAAGTCCCTACCAATTAAAAACTATGACTGAAAACACAAACACCACAAACCCAGAAAAATAACAAAATGCTTTTACTAATCAGTTACTTGACAATATTTGCTTATGTGTTTTAGCTGTACACTTTTTGCTCACCTCTTCATGTGTCAATGCTATTTCTTTTGAAACTATCAAAAACACAGAAAGGTTGCAAGTACAGTACAGGGAACTATTAAACCTTGAACCATTTGAGAGTAAATTGCTAACCTGATGCCTCAGAACTCTCAAATACTTTAGTAATTCCTACGAAGACATTCTCCTATATAACCACAATATAATAATCAAAATCAGAAAATGAACATCAAATCTCAGACCCCATTTCAGTTTCACCAAATGGCTCTCATGAAATAAGTTACAGTGAAAGCGCTCAGTCCAGAGTCTCACGTTGCATTTCTTTGTCATGTCTCCTAGTCTGTCAGTCAGGAAACTTTCCTACAGTCTTTCTTTCCTTTCAGGACCTTGAAGCTTTGAAAGAGTTGTAATTTGGTAGCAAGGCTCTCAACTTGGGTTTGTTTGAGGCTTCTTTATGATTAGATTCAAGTTACGTATCTTTAGTAGGACTGTCACAGAAGTGATTCTGTGTTCTTGATACATCCTATCAGGGAACGCACGTTTCCATTAGTCTCACTTTAGTTACTGATTAAGGGATATCTGTAAAACGACTCTACTATAGTTACACTTTCCTCTTCGTAATGAATCAGTATTTTGTGAGGAGGCATTTAGGTATAGCTATTCCTCCTCATACTTTGAATGTATGTATATATGTATGTATGTATATATTTACATGTGAACCCATGGTTTCCTATTTTATTCAGTGGCCTTCAATCTGTTATTATCATTATTTATTTTGATGCCAGATTGTCACAGATTTGGCCAATGGGAGCCCCATTCAAGCTGGAGTCTATATCCTTTTAACATTCCCCATCATTCTCTGAACACTCTTTATTTTCTGGCATAACAAAATGTCATTTTTCCAGCCCTGAAATCAACCAATATTCCTAGAAGCTCTGATTCAATCTTTTTTTGTTTGTTTTATTTTTTATTCTTATCCGAGGACATTTTTACATTCATCTTCAGATAGAGCAGGAGGGAGAGAGGGAGGAAGAGAGAGAGAGAAACATCAATGTGAGACAGACACATGGAGTGGTCACCACCCACACGACCCCAACGGGGGGGGGGGGGTGGGGACAAACTGCAACCGAGGTACGTGCCCTTAGTGGGAACCGAAAACTGGGAACTCTCTGGTCCGCGGGCCGACGCTCTAACCGCTGAGCCAAACCGGTCAGGACCAGTGGTTGATTCTTGTATGTATCCTGACCAGGGATTGAACACACAGCCTTGGTGTATCAGGATGATGCTCTAACCAACTGAGCTACCAGGCCAGGGTCAAAAATTTCTTAATTGTATATTTCCATTTTAGTAAGTTATTACAGAGGAAGAGCACAAGGCACTTTGAAAGCAAAAATAATGGAGATGGAGACTTAATCTGTGTATCAGGGTCAGTAAAGTAATTTAAAAAGTGTCATTTGGCCCTGGCTGGTTTGCTCAGTGGTTACAGCATTGGCCCATGGACCAAAGAGTAGTGGGTTCAATTTCGGTCAAGAGCACATAGTTTGGTTTCAGTTTGATCCCCAGCCCTGGTCAATCAATGTGTCTTTCGCCTCTCTCTCTCTCTCTTCCTCTTCCTCTTCCCTCCCACTCTATCTGAAGATAAAAGGAAAAATATCCTCGGGTGAGGATTAAAAAAAAAAAAGAAGAAGTGTCATTTGGGTTGAAACCTGATGGATGAAAATGAGTTGACTGGCAAAAGTCTAAGAAATAGAACAGCACATTTGAGAAACTGAAAGCACACAGTGAGGAGGGAGCCTGGTGAGTGAAGGGGGGGAGTGTGAGACAAGATGAGACTGGAGAGGTGGCGTAGCACCCTGATGGTGTTACTCCTTGGAAGTCGTGGTTAGTAGTTTGGAATTTATCCCGAATGCAATGACAATCCATGAAGGGCTAATTT